GGCTAGAGTCTGGAACCAGCTTCCAAGTGAGGTGGTGCAGGCTCCCACCCTGGGGGTTTTTAAGAGGAGGTTGGATGACCACCTTACTGGGGTCATTTGACCCCAGTGCTCTTCCTGCCATGGCAGGGGGTCGGACTAGATGATCTGCTCAGGTCCCTTCCGACCCTAGAAACTATGAAACTATCATGCCATTATACAAACCCATGGTGCACCCACATCTTGAATACTGTATGTAGCTCTGGTCTTCACATCTCAAAAAGGATGTAGTAGAATTTTCTAATTCAGAGAAGGTACAGAGAAGAGCAAACAAAATGATCGTGGGTATGGATCAGATGCCGGACTAGGAGAGACTAGAAAGGCTAGAACTATTCCGTTTGGAAAGGAGAAATATGATAGAGGTTTATAAAATCATGAAGGGTGTGTACCATATGAACAGGGAACTACTGTTAACCAAGTCCTAAAATGATAGGGGGCACTCACTGAAATCGGTAGGAGAGAGATTTAAAACAAGATAAAGTACTTTTTAAAAATGAAGCGTGTGGTTAATTTGTGGAGCTCAATGCCACAGGAATTGATGGAGGAGGATACTATAGCCATTGTAAAATTAGGACTAGACAAATTCATTGATAATAGAACGTTTGGAGATGTCTCCTCAGACATCTGTAAACCGGTGATGGTGGATGCCAACCAGGGTAACGAATAGGGGATGTATCATTCTAGATGGTCTAGTTCAAAGTTCTCCCTCTACAGCATCTACTTCTGCCACTGTTGGAGACAAGATATTGGGCTAGATGAACTACTGGCCTGACCCAGTATGGCAAATCTTATGTTTTTATGTTCTAGAAGCCTCTTTAGATCAACACAATATTAATATGATTTATCGCTGATGAATGCAATATGCAACTGACCTGTTTCATGTTCCTGATGATTTTTTGGTTGCGTTTTACAGCAGCTTCTTTTGACACAATTATATCTCAGCATAGTTAAGGCTATCTTACCGCCTATGTGTTTGCTTACCTCATTGGAGTGAGTTCTGTTTTGGTGTTTGGCCCGATCGGATGCATTAGAGAAAGCTTTGTTGCAGCCCTCATGCTCACAAACATATGGTTTCTCTCCAGTGTGAGATCTCAAGTGGGTTTTCAAGTTTTCTAATCTGGAGTAAGCCTTTGTACAACCTTCAAACTGTGGACAACATGTAAAACTGGATTATGCTAAATGCTTGTGATTTTAGGAAAGGTAAAACAGCCCAATATAATAAAAAATTCTCAAAGATTAGAAGCTTAGTAATTTTGTTCAATAGATGGAAGTGTTTTCTTCATTTTTGTTAAGACAGTCCACTGTAACTTGAAAAAAATATTTCCAGCACAATGCAAAACTTCTATTGCAAGAGAAAAAATAGTCTAGATAAAAAAAATGTGAACAGATTGTTACTAACTCAGAAATCCATTAGCATTCTGGGGTTTAGCAGTATTTCTATGAACAATGCAAGCACCTCTGCCTTAGTTAACACCTTTTACAGAGAAATTAAATTATTTAATGGAGAGAATTTAGATTTAGAAAACTGGGCCTAATTGAATCATCATCTCACACCTTCCTGTAGTCACTGTCTTCTGTGCAAAGTAAGTAAATAACTTCTACTCTGCTGATATGGTGCTGTTTTCACAAGATCAGACACAGGTGTGGAACGGCTATGTTGGGAGTCCAAGTTGGGAAGGAGCAGTTTCATGACCCAGCCTGTCAATCCTGTGAAAACCAGCTGTCCAGGGTTGTGTACTCACAGTGCATTTATGAGGCTTTTCCCCCGTGTGTCTCCTCATGTGTACCACCAGCATATATTGGGCTTTGAAGGGCTTCTGCTCCCGGGAACAATCCAGCCATCGGCACACAAACTCCTTCTTCTCACCATGGATGTGGTCATTGTTTATATGCTGCAGAGGTAGAAACCATAGGATAGGTTAGTACATTAGCAACTCCCTTCTGTTGAAGACATCATACCATCACTATTAATTACTGTTACTAGTATTACCATAGAACATAGGAGCCTCTAGCATGGACAGGGACCTCACTGTGATCCAAACATAAGACAAAAAAAGAAGGCTTTTGCTTCCAAGATATTATAATCCAAGTAAATTATAGGCCTAATCTAAAACAGATAAAGTGTTATGTGGTCCTTTCTATAGACATCAACAGGCGTTTAATTAGTCCTAGATATTTAATCAATCCCAATTGATTAAATCATAATTGATTCTGTATAATTTTACTTAGGACTTCATTTACATAGTTCACATGGGGTGTGTCTACACAAGACACTTAATGTGCCATAGACAGTCTATGGTGCATTTGCACATCATGGCAAAAACTGTGCTAATGTGCAGCAGAATTAGTCTACTGCACATTAAGACTGTGTGCCATTGCTACTGTGGATTACCACTAACTACTGCACATTTATGTAGTACCTCATATTAGAGGTACTTAATGTGTAGTAGCAACAGCACATTAATACATGTGTAGATGTGCCCACAAAGTACTACTTACATCCCAAAGACTTAATTTAGGTGTTATCTAACACATGATTTGCAAAATCATGCTTTCAACAAGATAGCCTCCAAATAAAAAGGTGAAGTAAAAATGTTCAATTGATCTTCCAACAAAATATTTGTCTCACACCACATTACCAGTATTTTCGTTTTGTGGATGTATTAAATTTAGTGTATATTTGATAGACTTCAGTTATTTAAAAAAGCAAACTGGAGTTCCTTCTAATCGAGATTTCTTTGCCATTTTGTAATATGGTTCTTCCTGATTTCTCCTACAATTTCTTGAAGACTCAGACCTAAATTTGATTCTCACATACACACGCTCAGCTCATTTTGGTCAGTGGGATATTCATGAATGAATCCAAAAGCAGAATCTGGTTGTATATCTTTCACTCAGATCCATTCCATAAGACCCTGGAGCCACAAAGAATTTTAAAAATGTACTTAATTCTTTGAAGTTTTTATGTACAGGTATATCCTAGTGAGCCAGGGCATACATATCTTAGCACTAAGTTTACCTTTAAAAAGGTGTAACTGTCAAAATTCTCAGTTTTAAAATACACACAAATGCTCACAACCAGAATTTTCAGTTACCTAAAGAAATGCATTTCAATGGCACTTAAGCTGCCTGATTCTCCTGGATTTCTTGGAAAGTACCATCAACCAGACTCTCTTAATTTTTTTGCATTTATTTTTCTGAAACAGGTCTGTTTCCCTCTTCTACCACTAGGTGGCTGCCTGTCTCAAAAAATGGAACTGTTTCAATTAAGGCACTGAGACTGTTTCCAGAGTTTAAATTTGATCATAGGACAGATGAAATCAGCATCCGCTCCATAAGTAGCTCATAGAAAAGTCAGACATACAGAAAGTCAGTAGTTCATAGTGAAACACAAAAAAGATAATCCTGATCTTTTCAAAGTCCTGAAAACAATCAAAAAAACAAATAAAATCACTTATGTTCACAATTATGCAAGGTCCCTATGGCAAACAGATGTGGGCTGCCTATAAAAGATGACTGTTCTTTTTCTGTTTTCAAAACTTTATTACCATTTCTTAAAAGTTATGATGCTGCACTGAGCATAGGCACAGAACAGATGTGCTGGACAACGTACAACATGTAATCTTTAAGAGTTTATGTTTCAAGTGCATATCTCTATAGTTCATTCATATTACATGCGCCTGTACCAAAAGTGTGCAGATGGCCAGTGTTTTGAAACCGAATCAGAACGGTAAGGGAAGGTTAATGTGTGCTCTTATTGCCTGAGAGAAAAAGAAGCAGCTGCATGAAATTCCATTATGAAAACAACTATTGGTCAGATCTTTCTGTAAATAAAATGTATCGTGAGTTGTCTGGACAAAGCTACACTGTAATGGAGGAACAAAACCAAAATTAGTGCATATGATGCAAACTGAATGTGGCCTGATTTTGAGTAAGGACCAGCACTTCATTTTGTTCTCTTTTACCTCCAAAACCATCCTTCTCCCTGTGCTGGCCTGCACAAGTCAGGGTGCAAACTTTGCTCACTTCAACATGTCGAAAATGGTTTCTCAGTACGTATACCTATAACTCTCATCCATCCCCTGTCACCTCCTGGCTTCCCTCATGCACCTTCTTGCTCTTTGGACTCTCTGTCTTACATGACCCCTTTTGCAATCCATGCTAAAGGCAGATAGTTGCAAGAATATTTGCCTGCTGAGCTATGTCATCCACCTCTAAGTCCCTTCATTGGCTCCTCCATTGAAGCTTCTTGTGATCGCCTTCAGGTCACTGCCTGCTGCTGCTGCTCCCCACATCTCTGCCCCCCCCTCTTATCATGTCACTGCTTTCCCATTCTCCCTGCTTCTCCCACAGGCACCTGCACTTTATTTCACAATACTCCTATGTGTCAAACACCTCTTGGACCTTGTCTACAAAGCTTCTCTGTTCTCTCATGAAGATCCTCCTCTTCAGGTAAAGCCTAGAAAAAACCTGATAAGGACATTTATTAAGCTGTGGCTGCATCTACATGAGATGCTGACTGCGTTGTTACTGCGCAGTCATTTAGTACTTGCATACACAAGTACTACATGACTTCACAGTAACCAGTGTTACTGAGCAGTAGTCTCCCCAAACGGCTTTTTGGTGACACTGACTGTACAGTAGCTCGCTACTACTGAGCAGCCAGTGTCTTGTGTAGACACAGTCTGTTTGACATAGTTAAAACATGAATGGGCTGTTCAGTGACCTGAAGGAAACAGAGAAAGATGTGGAAAGGCACTGGAACTGACACTGGGCACTGGTACAGAAGGAAGAGGAGAGGGCTGAGATAGGTGAAGAGTTGTAATGAGTTAATCCTATGTAGCAAAAAACCCTAAAATGTCAGAACACAGAGAAGTACTTCACTATGATGATTCTTGGCTTTCATCACCCTGATGGTTTACTTTGGGCTAGATTCTGATATCCTTAACACATTTTTATCTTGGTCCGTGCACCACCACTTTGACAGACAGTTAGGTAGAATAAAACAAATAAAATGTCTATTAGATTTTTCTTGGACCTTTCAATTGTTATTTTGGAGAACAATATTTTAGAATTATTTTGTGGAACGTGTGTGTGTGTGTGTTTCACAGAAAAAATTGATCTTTCTGTCTAAAGTGTTCAGAAATTTCTGAACTCTGGCATTCAAGTTCTTTGATTCTGATAATTACCTTCGGATTTCGCATGGTGTTTTTGACTCCTTGGTCTCCATAACATGAATGATTGAATAGTTTTTAGTTTATAAAACAAAGAACACTCTGGAATAAGAGTATTATGCAAAGCAGAAGCTTTGGTGGAGTACAATAAGGATTTATGGGGTTTCAATTTATAATCTGTTTGTAACCTTATTACATCCATGAAATGTCACATTCCAGGGAGTAGATCAGAAGGATTTTTTTTCTCAGTGAAATTGAATTTTGATGTAATAGCCCTAGTTTCTTACAGGCAAAAAGACCTTTCCTTTCATTCTGTGTTTGTTAAAGACCCAATCCTGCAAGTCTTCCATTAGTAATCCTGATTAAAGCAAATGGGCCCATGAAAGCCAAGAGACCACTCCTGTGTTTAAGGACAAAAACATAAGGCTCTACTCAGCATCTGGCTCCATATTATTAGATGCTTCCTACCTGATAAATAAAACTCTCTTATGAATAAACATGCTACAAAATATCCCTCATTGTATACAACTGCCATTGGACACCAACCCCTGCAAGTCCACTTATAAAATGCTGTTCTCTTTCAAGCCAATTCAATGTTAATCACTAGAATTAAATAAGCTGTCATCCACCCTGGCAAAAGATTGTATATGATATTTGAGGTAAGAACAATTAATGATCAAGTTTGGTATCCCCCTTCTGTAATTTCTTCTCAAGGAGAGGAATGCATAGGCATGCTGATCAGAGCGGACTACTTGGTAAGAGTTTACTCATTCAACAAAAGCCAGAGGTGTATCCCTCCATTGTGCAAGTGGCAAAGGAGACTATTGTTTGACCCTGAAGGAAAGATGTGAGTTGCAAAGGAGCACTGGAAAACGGATCTATCTGAGGCTGCAGCTTCAAACCAAGTATGATTTGGTGGAGAAAAGAGGAAAGTGTGGTGAAAACATCTAATTCTAAGTGATACACTGAATGCATCATGGTGCATATTTAACATGAAAAACGAACAGAAAATGCTGCTTATCAGCTATGTGGCCCCATGAATGGCATCGTGGCAAGCATCATATTTGCATTTCCACTAGATGTTTAGTTGGTTAGGTAACTTCAGTGTTGTATTAATAAAGTTTTTGATAATTCATTTTCCCACAGTGTTTAAAAGCAGTGAGTGCTAAAAGTCTCCACTACAACGCACCATGAAACACAAACACTTAACCCTATTTATGGTCCAAATCTTTCCCCCAGCTGCTCAGACACAAGGCCCACAGGGCAGCAGAGCTACTGAAGTCCCTCTGTGTGAGACAGGCAGTAAGCGATAGGAGAAGAGCAGCCAAACAGCCTCCAACCATGACTTATTTTGCAGCTGCACAAAGGAGTGTGAGAGTCCACAAACAGCAGAGATGCAGTATTCCATGGCCCAAAGTATGGAGCACACAGAGCACAGACTGTGGTCAGCAATACCAACTGGCAGAATAGTTGTGTGCTAGGGCTAGAAAAGAATTAATTGTTCCTAACCTATGGGTTATCCAAATAAAGCTTCTTCATTCTGGTTTCGCATTACAGATGAAGATTTGGCCCAAAGTCCATATGCAATTAAATTGCTTCAGGAGTCAAATATACAATGTACATCTACAGTATAAGCTCTCCACTTGTTTCTGTTTTCAGGCATGAACAGACAAAACATTTATACCAGCATAATGGTGTAAAAAAGTAATGGAGAGATT